TAGCATGCATTTGAGACCTCCTTGATTTTGTAGGTGATTATTTATTTGTTTATATAGAAGTTAGAGATTTTATAGAAGTTTGATTAAATCGACTATTTGTTTAGTGTTGGTAACTGAATTCTCATTTGTTCCTCTCTTTTGTGTCTATATACACACACATGTATGAATATTAACATTTTTGAGTTCTATGTTGATGTGTAATAATAATGCAATCTTTGAAGTGTTGATGATTATGATGGGTTCTCACTGGAGGACTTTGTTAAAATATGTTTACTGTATGTGTTCCATTTTCAAAGATCAAAGATAATGGGTACAAAGTTCTACTTGGCGGCTATAAATGTAGTGTAGTTGCACTCCAATTCAACTCCTACATACTTATCACTCAATATCAAAGCAGTTAAGTCTTTCCTATGGGCTAGGCCTAGGATGAGATTTGGGTGAAAACAATTAATAGACTTTCAATAGCTAGATTTTGGGCCTGGAGTTCTTCTCAAGGCCTCTTGTTTCTGCACACACACAAAACTATCTCAGTTTGCTTCAATACTGAATTTTGGTTGTTGTAGGATAGTGTTGGGCAGCGGACCTTGGTTATTCACTTTGTAAAATGCAGTGGTTTCCAATTGGGTCACCCTAAAATCCATTTTTATTTTTCACATGTTAGTAGTCTGAAAGTCTCTTCTCACTGCTCTGTGGATACCTTTGCTATAGTTAATGTCTGCTGGATTTGTGTGAGTCATTTTGTTTGTTGAGTTAGTGTTTACCATCCTCATATTGTCTACGCAAAATATGTTTAAAGTTAACATTAACATTGTGGTTCAGTGCAAGTTTGCTTTCCTTCCCAGACTTGCCAAATTCCCCCAACCCAAAATGGGAAAATCACCAATCTAATTTTATGTGCATTGCTGTTTCTTGCTTCAGATCCTTGAAGCATCCACGGCATAAATGACAATCAACTTTCCACGGCATGTCATATAATAAAAGGAATTCCTTTTATTATATGACATGCCGTGGAAAGTTGATTGTCATTTATGCCGTGGATGCTTCAAGGATCTGAAGCAAGAAACAGCAATGCACATAAAATTAGATTGGTGATTTTCCCATTTTGGGTTGGGGGAATTTGGCAAGTCTGGGAAGGAAAGCAAACTTGCACTGAACCACAATGTTAATGTTAACTTTAAACATATTTTGCGTAGACAATATGAGGATGGTAAACACTAACTCAACAAACAAAATGACTCACACAAATCCAGCAGACATTAACTATAGCAAAGGTATCCACAGAGCAGTGAGAAGAGACTTTCAGACTACTAACATGTGAAAAATAAAAATGGATTTTAGGGTGACCCAATTGGAAACCACTGCATTTTACAAAGTGAATAACCAAGGTCCGCTGCCCAACACTATCCTACAACAACCAAAATTCAGTATTGAAGCAAACTGAGATAGTTTTGTGTGTGTGCAGAAACAAGAGGCCTTGAGAAGAACTCCAGGCCCAAAATCTAGCTATTGAAAGTCTATTAATTGTTTTCACCCAAATCTCATCCTAGGCCTAGCCCATAGGAAAGACTTAACTGCTTTGATATTGAGTGATAAGTATGTAGGAGTTGAATTGGAGTGCAACTACACTACATTTATAGCCGCCAAGTAGAACTTTGTACCCATTATCTTTGATCTTTGAAAATGGAACACATACAGTAAACATATTTTAACAAAGTCCTCCAGTGAGAACCCATCATAATCATCAACACTTCAAAGATTGCATTATTATTACACATCAACATAGAACTCAAAAATGTTAATATTCATACATGTGTGTGTATATAGACACAAAAGAGAGGAACAAATGAGAATTCAGTTACCAACACTAAACAAATAGTCGATTTAATCAAACTTCTATAAAATCTCTAACTTCTATATAAACAAATAAATAATCACCTACAAAATCAAGGAGGTCTCAAATGCATGCTACATGAAAGCAAGTAAAACCAGTTTGGAAACTTGAATAAACAGTGAGCAATGGTGGTACAAGTAATAACCTTGATGTCGAACCCTGTGTTAGGCGCAAAAAAGGAATTACTAACAATTAATCATTTAAAATAAAATCTTACCAAAAAAACAAAAAAAAACCCCATCATTCCTTCAAACTCACTCTGAAAATAATGCTTCCAAGCCTACGAGCATGTGACTCCTACAGTACACTCAACTCAATTCAAAAACCTCCATATGAGGACAACCAGATAGTAAGATTTTTTATGCACGTTGGGTTCTGATCTTTGAAAACAACAACCAAATCTAATTCTCTCTCACAAGTTAAAAATTAACAATCAAACTTTTGCATGCCAATCATAATAAATCATAATCAAAAAATAAAATATGCATATTTTTCTTAATGTGTAAAGTAGTCTTTCCTATAAAGCAAAAGGATCTTAACAATTGATCCAACAAAAACTTCTCAGATCAGATTAACAGCTTTTCTGCACAATGTGTCAACCATAAAATTCCCTTAGCTCTTATTTACATTGTTCGAAACAAGTGATCAATATAGTGCACCAAATGCAACAATTCAGTCAAGAGTAATTGCAAGATTTCTGCAAAAATAGGTGTATCTTCACAAAATAAGTCAAAAGTTTCAAGTCAAAACACATATTTCATTTAGTTAAAAAAAAAAAGGCCAAATGTTTCCTATAGTTGCTCACTCCCAGAAGAATCTATAAACAATCTGTCAGCAATTTACATACAAAAACCTACGACTTCTCTCAGTTGTGTTGACTCCAGAATTACAGAACAGCAAAATTCAAAAGAACAAGAGCCCGAATGAATACAAATAGTTTCTGATTTTAAAGCACTCACCTGAAAAACTTTTGGATTCTTCAGCATTGCCCTCATAACTGGATCCTTTAAGGGATATTTTATTGTGTGACCGCTCTTTTCACCTCTTGTATATGCCAGTTTTGTTAGCTGTTACTTTTGCACCACCCTCTGTCTTTATCTGCTCACCATTGAAAGACAAAAAGAGTAAATAATCCCAAATAACCTTCACGCCAGGACAAGTAAGCAAATTAGTTCTAGCCATGGATAGAACGAAAGCACTTTTTCCCCCTATAAAATCAAATCACTTATTAAGGTGCATCCAACATGCTATTCACAACTAAAGCAACATAAAGCAATGTATCACACGTCAAACAAATAAAAGTAATTTCATATACTTGAGAGTCATCTCATAAGACCAGTTTCTTATCATAAAGATATATTAGAAAATGGACAACATATCCTTCAAAAAATATGTGCATGTGTCTGGGGTACAATCCAAAATACTAACTTTATAATAACACAAATAACAATTCTTTCCATTGTTAAGCATGATTCCAATATTTTCAATAGAATTCCAAATTATAAAGAACGAAAAAGAAGATGAAGAGTTATCCACAAGCAATGAAGTAAATACATCAAGACTAATTTTTGAACAGCTACTCTTTCCTAAGGTTCAAATTCAATTTCACAGTCACTAAGGACTCGGTAATGTCTAATAGAACCTGCCCATAATGAACCCCAATAGAAAACTCCACATTATCCCGTCATAGGAAGAAGTTTGAAGCTGCAAACTCCACAAATCTTTAACAATTCAACACTCTTAGCAAAAAATAGAACATCTTTAACACTCAGTAGACTGCAAATAAATATGTTCAACAAGAAAACCACTTTACACCTAATTTCAAGAAGCAAAGCATCTCCCCTACACCTATTTCTTTTATATACCAATTATACCAATAAAAAAGCTTTATATATTTGTAAAACTGCAAAGATCTTTGAAAAAATACCTTTCCACTAGCTGTCACATGGTCCCCATTGTTTAACTTGATGTACTTCTTACTCCTCTGCCAGCAAATAGATTCACACAGTTTAAAAGGAGATAGTTTGAAAGAAAAACAAAAAAATAAACATCCACAAGATATACCTTATCCCAGTGGAATCTAGATTTTTGTTTCTGCATGCCACCACTATCATCTGCAACCAGATCCAACACGGCAGCTTCCAACCTATTCAATTAATTAATCATGACATAAAGATAAGTCAACTATTAAAACGTCAAGAACAAGAAAAAAACACATACTACAGATTAATAAACATTTCTTTTTTTATCATTCAGCAACAAAAAGGACATACTAATTACAAAGAAAACAGATAGAATGCTCAAAGCAAAAAGAAGGATAAGGGATTCTCCAAAGACAACAATGAAAAAAAAAAAAAAATGAAGATACATGTGGCACACAGCCCTCCAATTACTATTAATAGAAAACAAAGGAACTCCTTTAAATGGTGCTGAAACTGACACACCCAAAAAGAAGCCAAATAACAGATTTTATCACATAAACTACCCAATATCTTTTGAATTGTCTTGAAAAAATCTTGCATTTCTCTCTAACTATAGCGACCCCGGTCTTTTCTCTTTAAATTATTGTATCCGGACTTAGGTTCTGTGGATCCTGTCATTACTTATTGGTTATTGTTGTCCTTTAATCTCTTTGTATTTGAGGTATAGGTTGTGTTGGGCGGGTCTGTTACAGGTTGGTTGATTTTGGATGCCAATAGGTGATGCCCAGATTTTGGCCTTCACGCTCGAGCGGAAGTTTTAACGCTCGAGCGGTCCCTTCGTTGTTGCTTATTATTTTCATATAATAATATAATTATTAAAAAAAGTGCGACTAAAACAGTAAGCAGGTGGCATTGTAACAAGAATGCAACCACAAAACCAATTTCAAAGTGGGGTAACAAAAAACCATAATCACTTTTAAACTCTCCCTACTTGAAAGAGGAGTGACCATGCATGAAAAGTGCAAAACCATGCTAACAAGCTTCAATACTTAAATAAAAATAAAGAACTAACTAGCAGTACAGGAAAACACAATCACCAGAAAAAATGCAATCACACAATAAATTGCAAATCTCAAAGTCCTTCATCATGATTTCAGTAACCTCACAAGTAGTCTACTCCAATTGTAAAGAATGAACCGTAAATCCTAAGTTTAACCTTGACATTGTATTTGACATAAATTATTACCCATAATTTGCAGGAAATGAGTTTAACCTTTAAGTGAAATTGTTCCATAATTCTACAAGTTAACAGATTATAGGTACTACATTCAACCACTCATAATTCTATTTTCCCTCTGAATGTGAAATTGTTCCCCTCACTCCATCATGGCTTCACATAAACAGAGCATCGGTTGGATGATCTATGACGGACTGAGGCCTAGATTGGATATGATCCTCATCATTACATGAATGAAATAAGAGATTTCAATGGTCTGTAAATGTAGCAAATGTAGCAAATGTAGATTGACAACCTATATTAGTTCTTAAAAAAAAATGAAAAACCAAAACGTATCTATACATCTGCTGTAGGATTAAACAATTGACTTCAAATTTTACATCCATATATCATGCATTGAAATAGGGAGATCTCCATTCACTTCAATTCCAACAAATCTCAGAATGTTAAAAGCATCCAAGAAGCTGCTGCTACGTCAAATATATTAATATAGGTGATTCATATACATCATAGTCGAACATCAAATAAGTTGATAATATATGATACCTGATCGAAATTGCTACCGGAGATTTGCCGGGAAATTGGAGAATCGAATCCAGACTAATTCATCTATTTAATCGGGAAATCGGAGAATTGAAACCGGAGGCAGCAACGGAGCGATCCAGATATCGAATCCGTAGAGAAGAGATATATGAATCAGTAGAGAAGGAGAGAGAGGGAGAGAAGGAGAATCGAAATCGGAGGCGCCAACGGAGTGATGAAACTTTTTTTTGTTTTTGTTTTTGATAGTCCCGACTTTGAGATCAAAAATTAATATATAAAATATAATAATATATGATTTGGGTTTATTAGAGACCAATTCAAATGGTAGGGATATGATTTGGGTTTATTAGG